CTTGGATTGTTTAGTAGTAAGATTAATTAGATCGCTTGTTTCCTAATTAACTGCAACTAAGGAGACATAGGAAAATAGTTCCAACGNACAGACGAGTTGAGTGGCTCGTGAGTCGGCTCGACTCAACTCGTTTGAAGATCGTTAAGAGCTCGACTCATGGTGAGTCGACTCAACTCGAATCGGTAGGGTGAGCGAGTCGAGTTCGAACAAGGGGAGGCTTGACTCGTGAGCTCTCTAGCTTGGTGTGGCTCGAACTCGTTGTAGGGACCTTTGGGTTAGTTTTATAAACCATGTGGGGCAGATGAAAATTGCACTATTAAAAAACTTCAAAAAACGACATTTACCCCCTAACTAAAAAATAGTAAAACACGACACTTTCTCCCCCAAATCAGTTTCCCCCAAATTAGTTTCCCCCAAATCGCCAACACTAACCAAACGAACCCTAAACCTGTCCACCATGAATCAGTTAATTTCATCTTGCCTTGTCGTCATCGATCAAAACACCAGTTGGAGAAACGACAACTCCATCCCACAAACATTGAAATGATTTCTTCACTCCCAAATCCACTTCAACCCTCAAATCTTCGATCTATCGTGAAAGTGACGCCCTTAATCACGTGTTCTTGTTGTCTTTGGTCCAAAATTGAAGGAAGAATTTGGTGAGTAAACTATTTTTGTTAAAAATATTTCATGAGCTGGGAAGAATTTTAAATATGTATCTCAGTGAGCCTTAAATCCATTTTGGTTTTCTTGAATGTATTAATTACTAATACATTGATGAATTGAATCAATGCTAACAGTTCTTCATTTTATGTTTCAGGATTGCGAGCGAATTTGAGCTCGAACCCTTTTTTCTTGACTCAACAGGCTTGAGTTCGAACTTGAGCTCGATCCTGCAGCACACGAGCCGAGCTCGTTAAGCCAAAATATCTCCCCATTTTGTTCTAGTGTATAATACTCCTCATGGGATCATACTCTTGACTTTTGTGTTGACCACTGTCTATGTTCCCTTTTGCTTGCATTACTTTTGAAATTCAAATTTAAAAAATAAATAGGGTTTATAACAATAATTCTCTTGAGGTATAATCAAATAACAGAAATCCCCTAATAGTTATAATAATAATGAAAATTTTGACGGTTGGGTCAAACAACTGTTTACTAATATAATCCGCAAAAGGAAATGAAAACAGAAAAGAGTGGAAGGTCACCAGGTGGGGCTAAGAAGGGGACTCAAAACAAAATCAAACTCAAACTCAAAATCGAAGTGGGGTGAGAATGCAGGGGAATGCTTGGGACGTCCAGTGGTGGTGGACAAAGAGTGCTTAGAAGTAGTGGGAAGAAGCAAATGGGAAATGGGTTGGATTTGAATGTGGAGTTTAGTAATGAGTTGGATGACTCAGGGGCGCCGAGGGTGAATCATGTGAATGGGGAGGAGGATATATTGATGGTGTTGGGTTTTTCGAGGGGCTTGATGAGTTTTTGAGTAGTTTGCCCATAATAATGTTGTGAAAGATGATAAGGTTAAGTCGGCTTAGTGAGTAAGACTCTACTTCTGTTGATGTGTTTATTATTCTAGTCGTTGTAATAGTTTTAATTGCGTAGAGGCACTAGCACTTTGGTTGCTGGTGGTGAATCTAGTAATATATTTGGAGCAATGGGGTTTATATTGAACTCTTTGCAAGTGCTTCGTTACTTCATTGTGGACATGACGTAAACCTAACTAATTTAGTTGATTAGGTAACTTTAAGATCTTGAATTTTATCGCTGCACATTATCAAACTGTTTGCATCCATTAACATGTTTGCATTTTTCAATAACTTTTCTTGATACGAACATTTATTTAAGATTCTATTTACTGGTGCGTGAAGCCGTAAACTGTTTGTATCTTTGCTTGATATAAAACTGTAACTGATATTCTCTCTCTCTCTCTCTCTTTTTTTTTTTTTTTTCCTTTCTGTGTGTTGCTGTGCAGGGATAACATAAACAAATTTGTATCTTTTTTAACAAACTTTGCTTGATATGAGCATGTATTTCAGTTTTCCTTTTCGACGTGTGGCATCCATAGAATGATTACATCTTTTGAATATAAGCTTGCACATCTGATTCTTTTTTTACTGTTTTGTGTGAGTGTGCTTTCATTCGCTCTCATGAGAATATATTTTCTTCAAATTTATGGATTTTGTAAATTCCAATGAAATGTCGTATGGTGAAATCTTTAATATTAATGTCAGTTCTGTGGCAGATTATTTTCTTCATGTACAGTCATGAATATGTATCTTCTAATTTGTATAGTTTTTTAGATTCCAATGAAATGTTGATGATGAAATCTTTTCAATATTTGCAGTTCTGGGGATTATTTTCTTCATGTATGCAATTGCCAGTATGGTAGAAGAATATAAAATAGCAATTCATTGGTTCAGACTTCGGGGTAACCAAATCCAGTCGCAAGTGGCAACTAGATTTAGTATGTCACCTGCTTTATTAAACTGTAGAAGTTTTTTCACTTAGTTCTCAGTGAAGTAAAGAAAATGTTAATTTTAAATGGTTGTAGGGTATTCCTTTGTGCTTGTAAAATATTGTTTTTCGGAACTATTATTGCTCTGATAGTAGTATCTGGCTGATTGGTCATTGGGGATTGAGTGGAGTGTGCCTCAGAAGAGTTGCTATAAGAAGGGAAGAGTACTGTTTCAGCCCTTGGATTTATGCCCCTTACAGATGGATTTTGGGCAGTATAACAGCTAGAAAAGGTACTAAGAGAATACAGGCTGAGATGGGTGGCTCTACTTGTTGATGAAGGCATCGAAAGGAAAGCTGATGTTTGATTTTTGATGATGTTCTCTAGATATTAGAAATCTTTGAAGTGGCTTGACCATTTTCCTCTTTGTCTTAAGGTAGGAAGGACAATTATTGTGTTAGGGTGTTTCCTCTCTTATGGTCCTATTTAAATATGGATTTAATTCCTGGGAAGAATGAGTAGTTGGGGGGAGAGAGCAGGAAAGTTGTAAAAGAGTATTTGGAGACTTCAGACTAGTATCACTAGAAGTTGGAGTTGTTTGATTTGTAAGATGGACACAATTCTTTGATTGGAGAGGGAATTCTTAGAATTTGAATGATTATTGTTTTAGGGTGTTAAGGTGAATTGCAGCATCTAGTAGATTGAAAAACTATATTCAAGGCCATGAAGTGGTAAGACGCTGAATTGTTTTTTCTTGGGGAAAAAAATTGGTGTACAGAGGGTGTTGGCATATATGTGTATGTTTGCCAATGTTGTGTGCATTTGTGTAATGCTATTATTTGTGCGGTATTGTAACAGACAGAAAAACTATCTTTAGGCAGGTCTGATTTAGGGCTTGTCAAATACTATATTATTCAGTTCTGGTAAAGTTGATATATAGTGGTTTGTGGAAAGGCTACACTGCAAAATTGGATGCTTGCACAACTGAATTTGAGAAATGCTGATGGAAGATGTCTTTATTCCGCTCAGGTAACTAATATGATGGTAGTGGTGTTTTTATTTCATTAATAGAGGACAGTAGTGGTTTTATGATATACCCGCATTGGTAACTATTTAAATTTCATTTACTTATTAGGTGGATCTCTAGATTCATGATTTCTATAAATTTTGGTGTTGCTAAATTTGGTGCTGTGGCTTTGGTTATTGATTTAATTTCCTAGTGAAAAATGATGGAAAAAGGAACATGTTTGGTGCATATATTGTATTCTGTTATACACCAATTGATAGTTGTTATTGCTAATCTTCAGGGATGACTTTTACAGTCGAGGAAATCTGTGTCTTGCCTAATTTCTTTGTTTCATTTCAATGACATTCTTGTTTTAAACTCTTTCCCTCACAATGTAAATATGGCATTCTATACTTGAAACTTTGCCACGCTTTAGTTGCAAACGTGAATCTAGGGCTGAGCATAAATTTGGTATAGTTACTTCGGTAAGTACATTATTTTCCGGCACAAAATACACTTATTCCGAAATGTCACGTCAAGTCAGAACTGATAAAGTTTTGTCATAATTGAAACATCGTCAGGACAGTAAATTTAAATTCAATAGACGTAAATGTAAATCTAGTTTGGATCACACGGTCAGAATTTCTTACCTGGACTACCCTAAATAGCCTCAGATAGTGAGGGTGAACTACCATGAATGCCGTCAAGTAATAATGATAATAACTGAACACCCAAAAATGATTCAATCGAAGTGCTGTTGTTTTAAAACTATCACTTATTAAATTTTTTATACACTAATTTTGGTTGTTTCAAAAATCCCTTAAAACTAATATAATATATTTTTTAAGGGTTTATAAAACACTCTAAATCCAGTTGTTTTGATTTGTTTTAAAATTTTATTCTATAAATATCATATCCATTACAAAATTATCTAAATTATATCTACAAAAATTTAACTGTCTCTGATCATATTAAATATAAAATAATTTTAAGTAATTATAAAAAAATTATTAAAATCTCATTTCTAGATACTTTCTTAGAGAAGTGGAACTACAATTTTTCAATCATTTTAAATACTTCAAAGAATGACGAAGAATGATAAAAAGACTTTATCACGATTGAAGTTATGAAATATTAATAAGTAGAAAATAAATAAAGAATCTTTACATTATAATTGAAAAAATAAAACTCTTAAGTAATGGTTGAAGTTGAGTATTTTTATTAGCATATATGTAAATTTATCATTTTAAAAAACTGTCAAAATCGTTGGAAAATAAACTCTCAAGCATAGGTTAGATGTTTTAAAAACAGTTATTAAAAACCCTTCAAAACCACTATAATTATTTACCGTCATAATAGCTACCGTGGTTTAACTTCATAACCGTTACCATGAAACTCCCACGCGGAGCTATAAGTACAGAAAAATGCCTCTCCGAAATGTCACTTTTATCCCGTCTGATTAAATTTCAAATTATTTGAACTTTAAATTTTAGTTTGATTGATCCTGTAAATTAAGAAAACATCTTTTCTACTATGTCCTTTTTCGTCCAACAAAAAATACAGCGTTTCCTTAGGTGGCTTCTTTCTCTCACTTCAAAAACCAAAAAGAAACTTTTAGACAGAGATACAGAACATGGCGAATGGCAGTAACAGAGAAGAAGCTGAGCGCTGGCTCATCACGGCGGAGAAGGTTTTATCGGCGCGTGACTTCCACGGTGCCCGTACGTTCGCGATCCGAGCCAGAGAATCGGACCCGAGGTTCGACGCTCCGAACCACGTCCTCGCTGTGGCGGACACAATCATCGCTGCTGAACCCATCATCAACACCGTTAATGGTAACCAGGTCCACGACTGGTACGCGATTCTCCAACTCGCTCGCTTCACTCAGTCCTCGGAACTCATCGCCACTCAGTTCCGGAAACTCGCTCTGTTACTCAGTCCCGAGAGGAACAGGCTACCATATTCGGATCTTTGCTTCAAGCTCGTGACTGACGCGTGGTCAGTGCTGTCAAACCCCTCAAGAAAGATAATGTATGATACCGAGTTGCAACTGAGTCAATTCGGAGAACGCCCTAGGCAAACACAAATGCCACCGCCAATTTCGCCGCCAGTAAAACCAACGCCCAAAAAAAACCCCAGAAGCAATGATAAGGACGGAAGTTGCGCGGTTACAATGCAAGAAGGAAGGTCTAATTGGTATAACGTGACTGAGTCGACTCGTCAACCTGGACCAATGCAGGCTGAGCCTACTCGTCAACCTCGACCGATCCAAACCGAGCCGACTCGTCCTATTCAAGCAGAGTCCACTCATCCTTTACATGCAGAGGCCGTTCGTCCAAGTCCAGTAGAGCCCGCTCGTCCGATTCTTGTGGAGGAGCCAGCTCGTTCGGTTCAAGCAGAGCCAGTTCGTTCCGCTCAGGCAGAGCCAGCTCGTCCCGCTCAGGCAGAGCCAGCTCGTCCCGCTCAGGCAGAGCCAACTCGTCCGAGTGACACAGAGTCAGAGATACCGAGTTTCTGGACAGCGTGTCCATTCTGTTACGTTCTTCACGAGTACGCAAAGGTTTACGAAGACTGTACTTTGAGATGCGTGAACTGTAAAAGAGCGTTTCATGGGGTACCGATAGCACCACCGCCTGTTACGCTAAATGATACGTATTTCTGTTGTTGGGGTTTCTTTCCAATTGGTTGTTCTGGCGACGGGAAACAGAAGGGCGGGAATCAGTCTACTTGGAGACCTATTTCTGCCATGTTCCCTTGTCCTACTCCAGGGAATGGGAAATCAAACCAAGTCAAAAAGACATATAAAAGAGCTCCAGTTTTGTATGATGAGGTGTTCATTTCTGATTCTGAGTCCGGGCCTAGTGAGGGGTCTGATGACGATTGGGGAAATCCAAGGAGAAAAAAGGGGAAAATTGTGAAAGGGAAAGCAAAAGGAAATGAAAACAAGAAAAGAGTGGGAAGGTCACCAGGTGGGGCTAAGAAGGGGACTCAAAATCAAAATCAAACTCAAACTCAAAATCGAAGTGTGGGTGAGAATGCAGAGGGAATGCTTGGGACGTCCAGTGGTGGTGGACAAAGAGTGCTTAGAAGTAGTGGGAAGAAGCAAATGGGAAATGGGCTGGATTTGAATGTGGAGTTTAGTAATGAGTTGGATGACTCAGTGGCGCCGAGGGTGAATCATGTGAATGGGGAGGAGGATAATATTGATGGTGTTGGGTTTTTCGAGGGGCTTGATGAGTTTTTGAGTAGTTTGCCCATACTAAATAATGTTGTGAAAGATGATAAGGTTAAGTCGGCTTAGTGAGTAAGACTCTTACTTCTGTTGATGCTGTTTTATTATTCTAGTCGTTGTAATAGTTTTAATTGCGTAGAGGCACTAGCACTTTGGTTGCTGGTGGTGAAATCTAGTAATATATTTTGGAGCAATGGGGTTTATTATTGAACTCTTTGCAAGTGCTTCGTTACTTCATTGTGGACATGTACGTAAACCTAACTAATTTAGTTGATTAGGTAACTTTAAGATCTTGAATTTTATCGCTGCACAATTATCAAACTTGTTTGCATCCATTAACATGTTTGCATTTTTCAATAACTTTTCTTGATACGAACATTTATTTAAGATTTCTATTTTACTTGTGTGCGTGAATCCGTAAACATGTTTGTATCTTTGCTTGATATAAACATGTAACTGATATTCTCTCTCTCTCTCTCTCTTTTTTTTTTTTTTTCCTTTCTGTGTGTTTGCTTGTGCAGGGCATAACATAAACAAATTTGTATCTTTTTTAACAAACTTTGCTTGATATGAGCATGTATTTCAGTTTTCCTTTTCGCAAGTGTGGCATCCATAAGCATGATTACATCTTTTGAATATAAGCTTGCACATCTGATTTCTTTTTTACTGTTTTGTGTGAGTGTGCTTTCATTCGCTCTCATGAGAAATATATTTTCTTCAAATTTATGGAGTTTTGTAAATTCCAATGAAATGTCGTATGGTGAAATCTTTTCAATATTAATGTCAGTTCTGTGGCAGATTATTTTCTTCATGTACAGTCATGAAATATTGTATCTTCTAATTTGTATAGTTTTTTAGATTCCAATGAAATGTTGTATGATGAAATCTTTTCAATATTAATGTCAGTTCTGTGGGAGATTATTTTCTTCATGTATGCAATTGCCAGTATGGTAGAAGAATATAAAATAGCAATTCATTGGTTCAGACTTTCGGGGTAACCAAATCCAGTCGCAAGTGGCAACTAGAATTTAGTATGTCACCTGCTTTATTAAACTGTAGAAGTTTTTTCACTTAGTTCTCAGTAGAAGTAAAAGAAAATGTTAATTTTAAATGGTTGTAGGGTATTCCTTTGTGCTTGTTAAAATATTGTTTATTCGGAACTATTATTGCTCTGATAGTAGTATCTGGCTTGATTGGTCATTGGGGATTTGAATGGAGTGTGCCTCAGAAGAGTTGCTAATAAGAATGGGAAGAGTACTGTTTCAGCCCTTGGATTTATGCCCCTTACAGATGGATTTTGGGCAGTATAACAGCTAGAAAAGGTACTAAGAGAATACAGGCAGAGATGGGTGGCTCTACTTGTTGATGAAGGCATCGAAAGGAAAGCTGATGTTTGATTTTTGATGATGTTCTCTAGATATTAGAAATCTTTTAAAGTGGCTTGACCATTTTCCCCTTTGTCTTAAGGTAGGAAGGACAATTATTGTGTTAGGGTGTTTCCTCTCTTATGGTCCTATTTAAATATAGATTTAATTCCTGGGAAGAATGAGTAGTTGGGGGGAGAGAGCAGGAAAGTTGTAAAAGAGTATTTGGAGACTTCAGACTAGTATCACTAGAAGTTGGAGTTGTTTGATTTGTAAGATGGACACAATTCTTTGATTTTGAAGACGGGGAATACTTAAAATTTGAATGATTATTGTTTTAGGGTGTTAAGGTGAATTGCAGCATCTAGTAGATTGAAAAACTATATCCAAGGCCATGAAGTTGGTAAGACGCTGAATTGTGTTTTCCTTGGGGAAAAAAATTGGTGTACAGAGGGTTGTTGGCACATATGTGTATGTTTGCCAATGGTTGTGTGCATTTGTGTGATGCTTATTATTTGTGCGGTATTGTAACAGACAGAAAAACTATCTTTAAGGCAGTCTGATTTAGTGCTTGTCAAATACATATATTATTCAGTTCTGGTAAAAGTTGATATAAATAGTGGTTTGTGGAAAGGCTACACTGCAAAATATGGATGCTTGCACAACTGAATTTGAGAAATGCTGATGGAAGATGTCTTTATTCCGCTCAGGTAACTAATATGATGGTAGTGATGTTTTTTATTTCATTTAATAGAGGACAGTAGTGGTTTTATGATATACCCGCATTGGTAACTTATTTTAAATTTCATTTACTTATTAGGTGGATCTCTAGATTCATGATTTCTATAAATTTTGGTGTTGCTAAATTTGGTGCTGTGGCTTTGGTTATCTTTGATTTAATTTCCTAGTGAAAAATGATGGAAAAAGGAACATGTTTGGTGCATATATTGTATTCTGTTATACACCAATTGATAGTTGTTATTGCTAATCTTCAGCGGATGACTTTTACAGTCGAGGAAATCTGTGTCTTGCCTAATTTCTTTGTTTCATTTCAATGACATTCTTGTTTTTAACTCTTTCCCTCACAATGTAAATATGGCATTCTTCATACTTGAAACTTTGCCACGCTTTAGTTGCAAACGTGAATCTAGGGCTGACAGACGAGTTGAGTGGCTCGTGAGTCGGCTCGACTCAACTCGTTTGAAGATCGTTAAGAGCTCGACTCATGGTGAGTCGACTCAACTCGAATCGGTAGGGTGAGCGAGTCGAGTTCGAACAAGGGGAGGCTTGACTCGTGAGCTCTCTAGCTTGGTGTGGCTCGAACTCGTTGTAGGGACCTTTGGGTTAGTTTTATAAACCATGTGGGGCAGATGAAAATTGCACTATTAAAAAACTTCAAAAAACGACATTTACCCCCTAACTAAAAAATAGTAAAACACGACACTTTCTCCCCCAAATCAGTTTCCCCCAAATTAGTTTCCCCCAAATCGCCAACACTAACCAAACGAACCCTAAACCTGTCCACCATGAATCAGTTAATTTCATCTTGCCTTGTCGTCATCGATCAAAACACCAGTTGGAGAAACGACAACTCCATCCCACAAACATTGAAATGATTTCTTCACTCCCAAATCCACTTCAACCCTCAAATCTTCGATCTATCGTGAAAGTGACGCCCTTAATCACGTGTTCTTGTTGTCTTTGGTCCAAAATTGAAGGAAGAATTTGGTGAGTAAACTATTTTTGTTAAAAATATTTCATGAGCTGGGAAGAATTTTAAATATGTATCTCAGTGAGCCTTAAATCCATTTTGGTTTTCTTGAATGTATTAATTACTAATACATTGATGAATTGAATCAATGCTAACAGTTCTTCATTTTATGTTTCAGGATTGCGAGCGAATTTGAGCTCGAACCCTTTTTTCTTGACTCAACAGGCTTGAGTTCGAACTTGAGCTCGATCCTGCAGCACACGAGCCGAGCTCGTTAAGCCAAAATATCTCCCCATTTTGTTCTAGTGTATAATACTCCTCATGGGATCATACTCTTGACTTTTGTGTTGACCACTGTCTATGTTCCCTTTTGCTTGCATTACTTTTGAAATTCAAATTTAAAAAATAAATAGGGTTTATAACAATAATTCTCTTGAGGTATAATCAAATAACAGAAATCCCCTAATAGTTATAATAATAATGAAAATTTTGACGGTTGGGTCAAACAACTGTTTACTAATATAATAACCCATCATATTGTAAATTTTAACAGTCAAATAATTGTTTATTAACTGCAAAAGTTTTTTATTATTTTTGAGATCTTAGGGGTTGAGATAAACCCCCCAAAAAAAAAAATATTAATTTTGTACTATAAAAGTGTTTTGCAAATAATTGGAAAGATGATTAGAAAGAGATGAGTTCAATTTTGAAATTGATGGAGTGATCCAAGGAAATAAATTTATTATTTGTTTAGGTGAGAAATTATATATATATTGGACTGTTAAAAATTAGATATCATTTTTGTTTTCCTAAAAATAATGTGTATTAAATTAATTAAATTTTTAATATTTCACCGAGGGGTCATTTCAGCATTACTTTGGAGTCCGGCAGAGTAAAAGCTTTAAAGCGGTTGGGGTGGAGATCTGGTGTAGCGTAGGCCACTATTTGCTCCCTCCCTGCCTCTAGGCTTTGGGCCTTAAAGAGGTTATTTTCCATTTTGGGCTTTGATTGTCAATTCAATTTGTGAAAATGCTTGGTTTATAAGTAATTAAAAAAAATGTACTAATCTCCATTTTTTTAGAAAATCATTTTTCACTTTTTAAAATGCTATAATTTCCTTAGTCCATCCAAAATTCCTTGAATTAAAATTGCCAGTAAGATTATTCACAGAAATTTTATTAGAAAACTCTATATATATTTTAAGCACAACATCGGTAAAGCCAAGGAAATATAACTACAATCTTTACGGGTTCTATTCATATCAATTCTGCCTCTGATGATTTGAAAAATATCATTAGCTTTACGGGTTTAATCTCTCTCATCATTGACCTTTTATTATTGTTCAACATTTTAATAATATATTTTTTTTTTACTTGTAAATTTTGATGGTAAAAAATAATATTATATATACAAAGTTGAGAATCATGTGACTCAAGATCTCTATCTATTTCATAAGTTAATTCATTTATAATTAAAAAGACATCATAAAAAAGATTATCAATGTGTTGAAATTTTAACTTTATACATGTAATATTATTCTTTTATAATCACGTAGAGTTTTTTTTTTTTTTTTAATTTTTAAAATATCATAAAGAGTTTTGTAGCCCTTAAAATTTTCAAAAATAAAAAAAAGAAAAGAAAATAGTCAATGAGTAGAGATTTTAAAACACCTACACTTTAGTTAACCTCACCACAAAGTCCATAAAAATAAGTTTTACTATTTTTTAATCGATGTAAAAGTTTAGACCTCAGAATGAGCAAAAGTAGTTTCATTAATGGCGTGTGTTTAAGCTTGTCAGCCAGTCAATGTTGCTGAGTTGGCCACTCAGAAGTCAGAACCCGATTCACTTTGTTTTCTCCGTCTTTCTTGGAGACAGGCCAAGTGTTCTTGATCCAACCAACTCACACCCAACTTTTAATCTCTTTCTCTTCTCATTTCACAATGATTAAGCATTTCATCAAACACTCTCTCTCTCTTAAGATCTCTCCCATCTCCCATGGCAATTCTTGCTCCAACTTCTCTTTCTAAGCACCCTTTATCGTCCTCTTCAACTCTTTCCCAATTGACAACGCCTACGGTAAGTTTTTCTTCTTTACAGTGGGTGTATATATGTGTTTTCTTCTGGGTTTTTACTGATTTCATCTTCTTTGCTGCAGATCTTTGGCTCCAAGCTGAAACTTAGAGAAACTGAGCAGACCCGTTTCAGCTTGTCCACTTCTTTCAAGTATGTTTTTATAATTTTACTAAATTCTTACATTCATGGAACAAAAAAAAGAGGATGATGCTTAATTGTTGAATTGTCTGGTATATCTTTGATTATTTACTTGTATTTTTAATTTAATGACTTTGCTCTGTTTTGATTTTATATGTTTATCTACATCTATTCTGTTTTTTATTTTGAGTAAGATTTTTATTCTAATTATTCAAATTAAAGGTTACTATATGTTTGTGGTAGTTATATTTCAACTTTTTTTTTTTTTTTTTCGGTTGCTAGTAATAGTTGTGTTTTAGCTTTAACATTCAGGTTTAGCAGATTTCATGAGCTACGTTGAAGTGCATACCACTTGTCATTTTGGCTCATGAGTTTAATAAAATAGTACTGGGAGTTTGGTTCAAGTGTCCTACACAAGTTCTTGTTATATAGAGACATGTTTTCATATTTTATTTAAATGAATGAGTTTGATATTTGAAATATCTCGGCCATTTTGATGAAATTGATATTGAAACAGAAGTTAAGAACCTCATCAAGTTGTTGCATAACTTGAATAGTGATATTATGTGTATGACGTAAGTCACCTTTTCTTTATTTGAGTATCTCTTCAATTCTGAACTGCAAATCCATGGGTTAATGTTCTCATAAATGGTGGTACTGTAATGGGTTTTCTAGCAATCTAAAGATTTTTTTTTTTCAATGGTTTTGTGATTTTCTAATTACAACCAGTTATTTATTTATAGGAGAAGTTCATATAAGACAATGACTTCAATGCAACCTTCAGAATTGGTCCTAAGAGATAAGAATATCTCCATTTTGGTTTATATTACCACCTGCTACAGATATTTTTTTTACTTGATTTTTCTAAAGCATATTGTTTTCTGGTCAGGAGCAATCCAGGTTTTCGATTGATGGCCTCAAAGGAGCCTGTGGGAATGACTACTAAACTTGGAAGTGACAAAATAGAGACCGAAGTGGGAGTTGAAAATGGATGTGGTTTGTTTGATGAAATGAAACATCGGTTTCTAAGTTTCAAAAAGCAGAAATTCATGTAAGCAACAAACTCTGGCCAATATTGATTTTATCTTTAAAATCAATTAGTTTGCCTTTTAACACAGCCTACGTTTTGGAACAGGGAAAACTTAGAACATTACCAAAATCTTTCAAATGGTCAAGCACCAAAGGTGAACAATGTTTTTCTTTTTCTTTTTTTGGTTGTAATTTAGTCATTGCTTTTCACACTTGTTCAAATGCTTGAAAGTTTATAGATGGCGCGCTTTGGTTTTAATTTCAGTTTATTTGCTGAAATCTGGAAAAAACAATTTTGTTAACTATCAATTTCTTGGACAGTTTATGGTGATTGCTTGTGCAGACTCCAGGGTTTGCCCCTCAAACATCTTGGGATTTCAACCAGGAGAAGCATTTATTGTCCGCAATGTTGCAAATATGGTTCCCCCATGTGAGGTATCACATACATTTCGTCTGATTTGTCTTAGGCTTTTCTACTTCACAACAATAAAAGGTTGGCACTGCAATGTGAACAGTGAACACTACAGAATGACAATTTATAAGAAAAAGATTGAATGATTTTGTCCTTTTTACCATTTCTAATTATTTTTTAACTCATTTGATTGCATAGAGTGGACCCTCAGAAACAAATGCTGCATTGGAATTTGCTGTAAATTCTCTTCAAGTAAGTATTTTGTGCCTTTACATTTAAGTGGTGGGTTTATATCTTCGGATTTCTTGCAGTTGTTATTTAGATGGTTGGAGTCTGTACTTTGGGATTGCTAAATATAGAAACTTATGGAGAACTATCTGGTCATGAAATCTATTGAGTTATGTACATACCTTTCTTTTGCAAAATGCTGAATCACTCTTTTTGCAGGTTGAAAACATTCTAGTCATTGGCCACAGTCGCTGTGGAGGCATTCGTGCCCTTATGAGCATGGAAGCTGAAGCAGATTCAAGGTAAAAAATATAGAGCACCTTTTTTCTGTAAAAGGTTTTTCTTATGAGCATGTCATATCATTTTTTATAGAACTCAGTTCACGTATGTTTCTCACTCAGCTAAACTCTCTCTGTAGCTTTATTCAAAATTGGGTTGTTGTGGGGAAGAATGCAAGGTTAAACACAAAGTCTGCTGCTCATAACCTGAGCTTTGAACATCAGTGTCGACATTGTGAGAAGGTGATCTACTTTGTCCTGAGTTTAGAATGTCCAAGTTCAATGGTTTAGTTTTATCCAACATAAATTTTAGCTTTTGTGAAAATATGTTTTTGTTGACATTCTTAGTCTTAACAAAATGGTATACACTCATGGCGCCAAGAAAATTACTATTATGAATCTTATAGAAAAAATTATTACTGTTGTGCACAATGGAACACAGTATCTACAAATAAACATTGTTTGGGTTTGACTATTCTTTTTTGGCTATCCTGCTTATCACAGGCTCGGAGTTTTTGTTCTTATCACAAACTCAATAAGTATGCCTTTTTCTTACAGGAATCTGTAAATTGTTCATTGTTAAACCTGCTAACTTATCCATGGATTGAAGAAAAAGTGAAGAAAGGCACACTCTCTCTTCATGGTGGCTACTATGACTTCATTGACTGTACATTAGAGAAATGGACACTGGATTACGAAAGAAGCAATTTAAAGGAAAGTGATAAATTTGCAGTCAGAAACCAATCATTTTGGTGCTGAACTTTACTTCAGTAATCTCTATATGATTTTATTTTATTTTCTTTCTTAAATTCTGTTGTATGCACTTTATTTGTAAATGTCCAGACAATTGAGAAATAATGTTATTCTCTGGAATTTTAGGGAATAACTATCCTGTTGTATGTGAGTTGAAAAAATTGTTGTCTTAATGTTATTCTTTGCTCATAATGTTAACTGTCTTCGTTTTGATTAAAAAGTAAATTTACAGAAATGAAAGGATTTGTAATGAAGTAGGAGGCTTCTTGGAATCTCATCAATTCATTCTTTACTTGGCAGCACAACTCTTTCAAATATCTTATTTCTATCATCGTTAGGAATATAATTTTAGGTTTTGAGGGCTTTGATGCCATTTACTGGCTCGACATACTGTGCCCCCTTTCTGAACCCAACCAATAAAAGGATGCACTTTCCTCTTATTCATTTTTATAGTTGGGTTTGCAAACAGGTTCAAATGGACTTTCTCTTTTCATTTCAAATATTATGTACTTGACTAATACCCCAACCCCCATTTTCTCAATCAAGAAAACTACAAATTTTTAGGGGGCGTTTGGTTCAAGGAATATTAGATTACTGAAAAGTTAGATTACCTTGAAGATTATGTGAATCTTTAGGAAAATGTGTTTGGTTAATTGGTGGGTATGTTATATTAATATGTTTGGTTGGGAGGAATAAATTGGTGGGTATGTTATTTAAATTACTGAATTGTCATCTAATTAAATATTATTATTATATTATTTTTTAATATTGATTATATAACCCCCCCTGTATTTAAAAATTTAGCAAAAACAACCCCATAATAAAAGTTTGGAAAATCAACAAAGCACCCCCACCAACCCAGCCACTCCCGGCTACCGGCAACCACCGCAGGCTGTCGGCAACCTAACGGCACACGGAAGGTAGGAAATGGCCTCTGTGCGTCGTATGGTCATTTCCCATCGGAGATCTGGCTGGAAATGGCTAGACGTGATAGATCTGGCCGTCGACGGCCAGATCTATCACGTCTAGCCATTTCCAGCCAGATTTCCCATCACGGCCAGATCGATGACGGATCTGGTCGTTGACGGCCAAATGCGCACGGCGGCCATTTTCGGCCTTCCGTGAGCCGTTCTGGCTATGGCGGTGGTTGCTAACAGCAGGCCGCGACAAGTGGGTGGGGGTGGTGGCTTGGGTGGGCTGTAATTTGTTTTGAATTCAAGGGTAATTTTGTCTAAAAAGTTAATTAATTGAGATGAAATAGTAAAAGCCATATTTATGTAAATAAATTTAAAAATAAGGGCATTATTGTCCTAAAATTTTATTAATAAAGGATAGAATTGTAACAAAAAAAAAAAAAAAAAGATAACCTTGGTAATCTTAGAATACCTAAGAACATTGAGGTAATCAGATTACCTCTAATATTACCAATAGTAATCACTATTGGTATTTGAAGATTATCGGTATTTTATATTACTAGACAACCAAGTATAGTAATCAAGTAATATAAGATGACTTAACAGTAGTAATTCCACATAACCCCAAACCAAACGCTCCCTTAAAGATATTAAAATCTTAACTAGTCGTATTAAGATTCCGTTGTTCTCCAAGGAATACTTTGTTTAGTATGTATAAATATGATGGAAGTTTAAAACTTTCATTAAGTGATTGAAATTATAAAGATGAGAATTCTTGCAGCAGCAAGGCATGTCTATTGCTTGATTTCATAATCTATTAGACTGAATTCCCACCATATCAAGATATTATAATCTATTAAAATTGAGTTGCTAATGCCTTCAAAAGAATGATACTGTGAATTAGTAGTCAGAGAACTTTTTATTCTCATAATGTAAAAGCAAACACCCAGTAAAATAAATACTTAGATGACACACAATCCATTATTCGTATCATTAGCTTTAGGTAACTTCAATTTCGCGAAATCAAGATAATTAACTGCAGTTTTATGTTACAACGATGATCCTAATAGACATTACACTTTCAGCAATATAGGGATAGAGACGAGAAAACTTGAGATTTTCCTGTTCCCCTCAACACATTGCGCAAATGCTTGGAGCCTCTCATTCGGTGTGGTTGCTGCTTCTTTTTGGCCCTTTAAAGGGCATTAGTTTAGCCACCCCTGGTGGGTCTTTTGGTTGCTCTTGCGGTGGGGTGGGGTGGGGTGGGTTGTGTAAAGGGTTGTATATCCTGGATTATTATTATTATTATTATTATTATTATTATCGGTTTTGTCCCTTGCTTGATTAGGGTCGAGTTGTCTCGGATTATTCCCGCTTAGGTGTTATTCTTTACTCTACCAGTCACCCAAATAATAATAATAATAATAATAATAATAATAATAATACAGTAGAGAGTTGGATTAACAAAAGAAAACAGAGATGGGTAAAGTGAGAGATTTCAAAGCTATGGGACTAAATAGAGATTTGCTATTATAACTTTTTGGGGCTCTTTAGATCGGGGGTAAATAAGAGAACGGGGGTAATCTTCGTTTATTTTGTAAGATTCCTGTGTTTGGTTGGCAAGTAATAAAATATTACATGAATCTTTTATTGTAAATAGTGTTTACTATTGGTAACGTGAGGGGTAATCTTATTATCTTGCTAGGAGGTATTATTAAAACATTACTGACTTAATATGATTTTTCTATCATTTTTTCCCTTAAATAAAAATCATTTCAAACACAATTGCTCTCAAATGTCTACAAAATAATAATTATTCAGCCCCCTACATTTGAGAAATTAGCTAAAATATCTTGCCACAAAAAAGTTTAAGAGTTAACAAAATACCCCTAACCACCCAAGACCACCACTGGTCATGACTCACCAGCGCCGGCCACCGGTATCAGTCGTTGTAATGGTGCACGGTCAAATCTGGTGTGTTCTATGGCTGTTTCACAGCTACAGATCTGGCCATAAAATTGTCATAGATTTGGCCATTTTTTGGCCATGGATTTGTGTTCTATGACCATTTCTGGCTTTGTCGGCGCATGAACTACCATATATGACCATTCGTGCGCCATTCTGTCGACTGCCAACATCGACTAGTAGTGGTGGCTGGCCACGGGCAGTGGTTTGGGGTGGATGTGAGTGATTTTGCTACAAATTAAAGTTTTATAGGATTAGGGTGTTTTAGCAAAATTTCAAATACAGTGGGTTAAATGAAACAATTCAAAAAATAATAATAAAAAATACTATTATATTAATATTTATAAAGGAAGATAATTTAGTAATCTATATAACATACCCTTCCATTTATCTTTTCAACCAAGCATATTATTGATCAATTTATTCGAACCAACCAAACACATTTTCTAAATATTTCTAATAATCTTTAAGGTGATTTTTTTTTTCCGTTAATATAATATATATTTATAATAAAATGTTTTATGATTCAAACATCTCTTTTCTTTATTGAACGGGAGCATTTTTGGTAATATTCTATGACATTTACATGACCCAAGGTTGCATATATTTATATATAGCCCAAATTCGCCGCCTTATCAATTATACATTTGTCCTCCATCATATTGGCATTTTACACCTGAGTATACACGTGCCACCCATCTAACTGACTACTTAATATAAGCCATACACATAAGTGTACACATAAGCATACAAATGGCCCTAATCTCTAATTGCCACGAATTGTACTTACGGTTGGGGTGGCCGTATATATTTTATCATAAATATATAATAATTATAATTATAAACAAAGAATTATTCTTTGGCTTACGATGGCTAGGACCACCAGAGACCAAAGAGTAGCTTGATGGTGGGTTGGCATCCATTTGTGACTTCAAGCTAGAATTTGTTACAAAATATCTTAAAAACAGTATTTAATTGTCCTAATAGAGTAATAGGGATATTTAAGACCCCTCATCAGTATTGTGAAATTACACAAAGGAGCTGCAAGTATGGAAAACGCCGTTAAAATTAATCGCTAAAGGGGATATAGTTGAGATTTCAAATTTTTTATAAGTGGATTTTTTATTTTTCCTGAATTCCCAAGTTTTTTTTTTCTTTCCCCTTTCTCGCTTTCCTTTTGCCCCTTTTTTCTCCCACCGGTGGACCGGGTGGGCCTTGAAGGAAATTGATTCTAGGATCTTGACACTTTCATTAAATTAGTGGTAACATGTTGTTTGACTGTTATATTGAGTTTTATAAAAATCTGTTAGTTTTTCTGCTAAGCACCGTTACGTTAATAAGGCTGAGAAACAATTTTTGTTAAGTACAGTTTAGTTTCTAATTACAAGTGTGTGTTGGTTATAGTTTCTTAATTAGGAAACTAATGATACTTAAGCTTATAATCAAGCTTAGTATATAACCAAATATAATTCGATTTAGTCTCATTTTTTTGATCTTGTTTCCTCACACGTGCAAAAATCCTAGATACTTGAATTGCCTAAAAAACTCTCAATTAATGTATAACAGAGTGTAAATTTTGTAGAGATAAAAAAATACTTTTGTTCAAAGTCTGTGTGAACATCTGAATCATCAAGTCTTAACAAGGTAAACGAACATTTTATATGAGAATCTATTCCAATTGGATGGACAACTATATTGAAGAATCTCTGAGCTAGTTTTATTGAAGAATCTTTGAGTTATAACTACATACCAAGAAAAATGATTTGTTTACAATTGTTAAAACACGTGTGAACTTGAGTGGAAAAGGAATTGTAAGTCATAATACACTTGCGAATTTGGTTAAACTAAAACTAGTCATTCCAAGTCTTAAAACACTTGGCACATGACATGTGGATCATAAAGGATGCAATTCGGCCTATGACGAAGGAAAGGAACCAACCCAAGTTGTGCAAGGAGACAATTCTGATCCAATCCAAGTTCAAGGAGAAGAATTAGCCTAAGTTGTGCAAAGGAAATAAAACATCTCGGCCTAAGTCCATTCAGGCACCAAGTCATCAAGTGAAGTCCAAATTCAACAAAAGAAAGGCTCAAGTATTCAAGTGATCCAAGACAGCCCATTATCCAAGCCCAAAGAGTGTTTCAATGTTACTTCATTTTGAGTCCATTTCAATGAATCCCAAAGCCCAAACTCATGCACTCTTATTAGTAGGAATTAATTACTTGTTATGTTTAATTAGTGATCCTAGGTGGCATGTTTATTTTGTATGTTTCTAGTTAATTATCCTAGGTGGTGTTTTCACTCTACTAAATTAG